GAGCTGCAGAAGTTTCACGGAAAGACAGAATACGAAATCACTAAATCAGACGAATGCTAGGAATAAAGCCAGTCTTACAGGTCATCAAAGAACAACAAGTGAAGGGGCTTGGACACCTAACAAGAATGCCCTGGTACTATCTGCCACAGCGAGCCACACTATAACGTTACAAAGGGTATAAAGCAAGTGGAAGACCTCTGAAAAGATAGAGTGCTTGCATTAAAAACAGCCTTACAGAAATGAACATCAGTCTTAATAGTGCTCTTGACAGAGCTCATCAACGAATGTTACAACCCCCCCACCCACTCCCCCTGACACTTCAATGAGGTACAAGGTGGAAGAGAAGAAGAAAAAAAAGAAGAAGAAGTATGTAAATTTGAATGAGTTCCGTGCCAACGTTTTCCTGATTTGTTTCTTTCGATCCCTCCTGGAGCCCTTTTCACACATTTTTTTTTACATAGTTATTAATTTGTTGTTTTTATTTTATGGTTTGTTGTGACTGACCAAGTCTGGCACTTGTTGCATAGGATGGAAATGAATATGCTTTGTATGAGATGTTTCTTTATGCTGATTGGGATTGTCTAATGCTATAAAGACATCACTGAGTTGTGCTTCTCCCTTGCTGATTTGGCAAACAGTAATTCTTCTTAGCTGAAGAAGTAAGTACTAAAGTTTACTGGCAAGAGATTATGGGAATTCAGTATGAAACTTTTGAAAAAAGTCTTTGGTAAAAGTGAATGGAAGCATAAGGCATGGATAACACCTAAAACCCTGAGCATATCGTGACAAAAGATGATATATGGCTGTTCAATATGACACTGAAACAAAACATTTACTGTTCAAAAATAAGGAAACGCATAGTTACTGAAAGTAACAAACCTACTCACAATTTTGACATTCTGCATTTTCGTAAGTGAAATTACTCAAATTTCACACAAGAATACCTTAGGGTTCCACCAATCATTTGAAACCTTTTTTCCATCTGGGTCACGATAGTTTTATAAGCGTAGGCCTTTCCTGTTAGTATGGTGTGTGGCCTCTTCTTGCGTGGATCAGTGACTGGCATCTCCTAGGCATGGATGCGATTAGATGTGGGCCTGTGGGATGGCTGCCCACTCTTCCTGGAGTGCCTGGAACAGATCACGACCACTGGCTGGAGCAACGTTTCGGCGACAAACACGTCTTTGTAGCTCATCCCACAGGCGCTCAATCGGATTCTGCAGACAGGGATGACTAGGGAAGGGTTTAAATGTTATTGGCAGACAGGAACTGCGTGGTCAACTGTGCAGAATAGGGTCTGGTGTTGTCCTGTCGTAAAAGATATCTGCTGGCATCCCAAAATGGAAGGACATGTGGTCGAAGAATTTCATGGACGTATTGCTGCGCATTCAAGCTCCCTTCAGTGTGCACCAATTGACTCCTTCTGTTGTAACTGATCATTCCTTATACCATTACAACTCCATCACCATGCAGCAGAGCTTCATCAAAACAATTTTGGGCTAAACCTTTATTTTGTCTACGGTAGACCCTAGGCCATCTATCATGATGCTGCAACAAAAAGAAAGATTCGTCACTAAACCAGACACGTCTCCACTGATTGTCACTTGCCCAGGGACAATGTTGGTTGGCCTAAAAAAGTCGATTTTGGCGGTGGCGATGCATAAGGACAGGTCCTCGGTGTGGTCGTCGAGCCCAAAGTCCAACATCATGCAGTCTGTTCTGAACAGTTTGATCAGACACATGACGTCCTGGAGACAAAACCGAATAAAACGATTCTCCGCTGCTGTTGTCACTCTGGGTCTTTCACTGCGATGTCGACTTCAACTGAAACAGTGGCTTGGAACCCGTGCCAAAGTTGACTGATGGTACTCTGGTGCACGTTCAGATGTCTGGCAACCTGACTTTGACTTCTCCTGCCTGCAATCGGCCAATAGCAACATTCCTTTAATTTATCGATAGAGGCGCCATTTGTGACTGCTTGAAAATGAACTAATCGTTTTTGTGTAGCGTTATCCTTTTATAGGGTTTCAATTGCATAGGCAGTGACTAGTGTTCACCGCAAATTGTGTTGCTTTCTCGTGCGCACATCGTTAGCTATTCTCACAAATATGGTCTTAAACACATTTGACCACTGTGTTGTAGTGATTACAAAAACCCACGCAATTCACGCCCATATGTCCACTGGACACTGTAAACAACATAGTTATTTTATCTTGCATCTGATTCCGTGAATGGGACAGAAGAGAAATATCATCAGCGAAGTCCGGATCATCAAGCTGTTTTGTAGGGGTCCACTGAATTCCATTCTTGGTGTTAGCAGTTACTGTTTTCATAATCCAGTCTATAGCCAGTAAAAATATGAGAGGCGACAAAAGCCATCTCTGTCGCACACCTGTTTTTATTTCAAATGTATCTGTCAGCTTTCCCTCATGAAGAACTCAACATTTCATGACTTTATAAGTTGCCTTTACTAAGTTAGTAATTTTCTGTGGGATTCCATGGTGCCCCATCAATTTCCAGAGAGATTCCCTATCAAATGCTTTTCAGTCTATAAATCCAATGTAAAGTAGTACGTTCAGCTCAATGCTCTGCTCGATTATAATACGTAATGTGGCTATCTGGTCAGTACAGGATCTGTTTGACCAAAACCTGCCTGTTCATTTCTTAGCCTTTTATCAATAGCATCTTTTAATCTTTAGAAAATAATTCTTCTTAATATTTTTCCTGGAACTGACAGCAACATAATTCCTCTATAGTTTATACACTCCTGTAGATCACCTTTTTTGGGCAGTTTCACAAGATATCCTTCTCTCCAGTCTGCTGGTATTTCTTCGGTCTCCCAGACTTTACTGAATAATCTATGTAGCAATTCTGTTGATGTGTTTATGTTGGCCCTAATGGCTGGGATACCATCTGGGCTTGCCGCCTTTCCTTCCTTGAGAAGATTCATAGCTTTTCTAATTTCCTCTTTAGATGGTATCACACAGTTGATATCCAGTTCCATTTATAAGGGCTGGATATCTGGGAGAACCTCTGGATATCTGTGAGAACTTCTGGATATCTGTGAGAACTTCTGGACCTGGTCTAATTAGAAGCATTTCAAAATATTCCACCCATCTGTCCATATGATCTTTAGTGTTAGTAAGTAAGTTTCCTTGACTATTTTTGATTGATTCAGTTGGCTGACTATATTTACCTACTAATTTTCTTGTGTTACTGTAAAGTTCTCTGAGGTTTCCTTTTGCTGCTGCTGTCTCCGCTTGTAGTGCTAGATCATTTAGATATTTCACTTTTTCTGCTCTTATACGCCTCCTAACTTCCTTATTGGCTCTTGTGTATTTATCCTGAGCTCAACTTTAGCAGCTCTAGTTTTGCTATTATTTAAATCTGCTTTTTTACTTTTTTTTTCTTCAATCAATTTAATGGTTTCTGGTGTTACCCCCGTTTTATGTTTCCATTCTTTCTTGACAAGAACTTCCACACAAGATTCATTCCAGATTCCTTTGATCTGATCATAGTAGACTTCTGTGCTGACATCTTCAGCTAGCTGCTGCAACACCTGGTACTTATTAGAGACTGTAACTGAAAACTGTTCCTCAACTTCTTTATCCCTGAGATAACCTACATTATATTGGTTTCTAAGATAATAAGATGTTATAAATCTTTTAAGTTTTAACTTGATTTTACTTACCACCAGGAAATAGTCAGTAAATACATCGACACCCCCAAAAGCTCTAACATTATAAAGGGATGATCTAAACTTTTTATTAATACATAGGTGATTAATTTGATTAGTTGTCTTATGGTCTGGTGATTCCCATGTTGCCTTGTGTATTCTTTTATGGGGAAAAATACTTCCACCAATAACATACTGGTTTCCTGCACAAAAATTTGTGAACATTTTCATTCATTAATCCTAGAACATGTCTTCCCATAATTTCTTCATAACCTGTGTTGTCTGATCCTATTTTAGAATTCAGATCACCCATGAAAATTTTTTAATTGCCCTTTATTTCATTATTTATAATATTTTGAAGCTGCATGTAAAATTCGGCTATCTTCTGAACAACGGTCCCAAATTATCTATGCAGAAAATGAACCCCAACAGGGCCTCAGTCACGTGTCAATTGCGTACTTCCGTGCCCTATAACGGCCCCGCCAATTGCAAACTTCCAGCAACCTCCGCCACCACCGAGAGTAATCTCCACTAACTGGGGGCTAAACTAGATGGCTAGGACTCACAAGCAAATAAAACGAAGGCAGCTGCAGGAAATACAGTAGCTGCTGCTCGTGAGTCCCAGCCATCTAGTTTAGCCCCAATCCACGCCGCGTTGCGGTGGCAGAGGTTGCCGAAAGTTCGCAATTTGGCGGCGGCGGAAGGCACCGGAAGTTCGCATTTCAAGACGACGGAATTGCGCAATTGACACGTGACTGAGGCCCTGTTAGGGTTTATTTTCTGCATAGATAATTTGGGACCGTTATTCGGAAGATAGCCTGAAATTCTTCCTTAACTTTATCATTTGTTGGTGCATAAAACTGTACTACTGAAATGTTCACCTCCTGTTTCACTGTTCTAAATGATGCTCTTATTATTCTGGGACTCACAGCTTCCCATTCTATTAGTGCCCTGTCTGCTTCTTTCGATAGCATCAGGGCCACTGCTTCTTTGTGGGGAGAATTTTCCTCTGTGTGTCCTGAGAACAAAATAGTTTCCCCTGAATTTAGAATACTTTTCACCACCCCAGTCCATCTAGTTTCACATAACCCTAAAATACTAATTCTTTAATGTTTTATTTCCTTTGCTACTTCCATTGTTCTCCCTATATCATAGAGAGTTCTAATATTCCAGGTGCCAATGATTATATAGTAGTTTAATACATGTAAACCTGAAGGAAAGATTTTTTTTTTTTTTAAATATTTGTTTCTATTTTTTTTTAAATCAGACAGTACTTATTTTCTGAACATTTCTTTTGTAAACAAAATACTTACATTACTGCAAATTAGTTGAACATTAAATCGCTGTAGTTTGTAAGCAGACTAACAATGCTTGTTGTGTAGTTTGTACAAGTTCGCACAACCTTTACGCGATCAGCACGCTCAAAATTAGATTTAGCCATTTCATAGTATTCCCCATCACTTAGAGTGAACGACTTTAGTCCTGGGCATCTAAGCCTGAAAATATAGAAACAAAATTGACAGATAGGTTATGATACTATATGCAGCCTATGAATATTTTTGTCACAATATGACATAAAACTGCAATTAAAAAACACTTTTTGTTACAAGGTTTATATTTTTTAGATGAAGATTAATAAATTATTTCACTTTTTATCATGGTCATCTGTTTTCTTCTCAATTCTTTCAGTCCCAGGAGGTCTGGCATCATAGACTCAATAGCTAGTACAGAAAGACAATCCGCACATCTTGCATTCATTGGGCTTCTAGATAGGAACCTATGAATGTATTTTGTGTCCGTTGAAACTGAAAAAGTTGGTAAATTTTTTTTTTTTTAAATGACAAGCGCTGCATATTAAAAAAAAAAATTATTGTTTTAATTTGTATCGATGTTTATGTTTGTTTATTCGACGGATCAACATCATGGCACATGGGTGATACCCATAAATATTCCGTTCTGTTTCTAACTCAAGCCTGAGTCTGAAGAATCTTAGCACAGCGCACGAACCCCGTTGCACCGAAAGAAAAAATTCGCTGTGAAAAACAGAATATGTTTAAGCCACTTCAAATAAATGATCATCTCAACAAATCACAATAAGAAAATAGTTTATCATAAATAAGATCTGAAAAAAATATTTAAGATCATTCTCTGTTACTAAATAATCATCATTAGCATCAAGTGTCTTGTTGACTAGTGTGGGCCACCATGCCTCTCCACAATCTGCGATCTTTAAGAAAATGTAATAGTTCCTGTGCTGACACTCCTTCATGGTTCAGAAGCGTGATTTACTAGGGAAAATACAGCAGTGGTTTCATTCTGCTTTCTGCCTCTTTGTGCAGTAGGTGGTTGGGTGGTGGAGGGGGGGGAGTGTAATGGCACCTCTTACCTCAAAGAGATCAGGGCTATAAACCCACAGAAGACCAGTAATGTCCATCATCTTCTTTCAAGAATAAAGATGAATGTGATAATTTAGTGAGCTCTTTAACCCCCTAGGACAGTGGTTGGCAAATGTTTTAGTCACAAGAGGCAAAAATCATCAGCAGGACAATTACAATTTTTGAGAGCCAAATTTCAAATTCCGTCAGAAGAAGATGTTGAGCAAACCTGAATATAACTCAAACCCATGCAGAAGAATGTCTTGGTGTGTATACCATAAACAGAAATAACAAATGGTTTGATACAAAATATGAAGCAGTCAGTAAGAAAAAACATGCCAGGCAGATCTGGCTAAATGATACTAGTAACATATGAAGAAAAATATAGAATATAATCTAAATAAGCCACAAAAGTAGTTATGCACCAAAAGGGAGAATACATGAACAACATTGTCATGGATATGGAAGCTAACCATCAAAACAATGAATCCATAAAGGTTTTTTAAAAGAAGGTTGTAAAACAAGGACATCAATAAAGCATTCATAGTTTAAAAGATCACAACAGGAACATGATAAATAATAATGACGAAATATGTTTCAGATGGAAGGAATGCTTTGTTGAATTGTTAAACTGTGAAACTCCACTTATCCACAAAAAGAGACATTAACATGTGAACCAAATATTGAAGAGCATGATTTTAAAGAAGTACTGTATGTTATAGTGATTAGTGATTAGAAAGGATTATCATCACAGCACTCCGGACAGATCCATAGGTGCTCCGATCTTCTGCTCAAAAGCTCCACAAGTGTAAAACGACTGATGACGCCTGTTCTGTATTGGTTAATGAAACGTCTTGTCCCCTTAGTGAAATGTTCATTTCTATCAGCTCCAGCCTGCACCCCCATGTCCATCAGTCTAGACAGGAAAACGGAGTCATGTCGATACAGTAAGTGCAGCGCATGGCATTGATAACATCACTTCTGTCCAGTACTGGGCCAGCCATAGCAACCGCATTTTCAGCAAGATAGTCTGCACGCTCGTTCCCTTGGACACCCGCATGACCTGGCACACAGATGAAGGTTAGGGCAGATATTCGTGAAGTGCTTAGTGATACAATCAATTCTTGCCTGATAAATCCAGCTTGGATTTTTTAAAGTACATTCATCAAGTCACTAAGAATGCATATGTGTGAACTTTTGAGTACCAAGCCATGCTAATGCCCTTGTTACAGCCATAGTTTCCATTGTAACAGCAAAGGCGCCATTCATCTCCTTGATGGTTTTCTCCTTGAGCTTACTGTGAATGCTCATGCACTTCACTTGCCCCTAATTACTGACCTATCTGTGTAAACTATAGCCTCACCTTCATCTGTGTTTTTGTCAGTCAGTGTTCTGACTAAAGTGTCAACAATGCCAGGAATCTGCTCTCTACAGCTTCCATCAAATATTGATGTTTGGAGAGGGAGGCATAATTATCCATTAATTTCCAAAATTAATGTCAGTAAGGCGGCAAACATGTTTGGTGGCATCCTCAGCCCCACCCATCCAGGATTGGCCTCGTTTGAGTCTACTCTTTCTTTTTTTTTTGCTTGAGAAATTCCTCATAAAGTGGATGTCAATGGTCTGACTTCACTTTGAGGAAAGCAACAGTCCTGGATAGCTTGATTCTGTTTTCCATTGTTGGGAAATCCAAGAGGTATCACATGGATTTACAGGAAGTGTCTCTAGTGCGTCCATTGCCTCGTTTTCAATGTGTGGTGCTGTGTCATGATACTGTATGTCATAACGCAGCTTAAGAACAATAAAGCAACTGGTGTTGATGGAATTGCAGCTGAACTTGTAAAAGAAGGTGGTCATGCATTACATGTAAAGATATATGTATTAATAAAACTAGTTCGCAAGATGGAGAAATTACCCCATGAATGAAAAGTGTCTTTATTAATACACATTTTTAAGAAAGGTGACAAGTGTGTGAAAATGATAGAAGAATATGTTTATTATCTACAAGCTATAAGATACTATCGGTGGTACTGCTAAACAGATGTACATAATGTTTTTGTGGATTTTAAAAAGGCGTATGATAGTGTACAAAGAAACAGTTTATGGAATACTTTGAAGGACTTTGGAATACCAAAGAAGTTAATCACTATGACCAAACTATGTAGTAAAATATAAAGGCAGTAAGTCAGACCCTTTTCAAATAACATTTGGTTTAAAGCAAAGTGATGCTTTGTCCCCACTTCTTTTCAACTTGGCCCTGGAGAAAATTATAAGGAAATTGAAATAAGAGTGTACTATAGGAGAATTTACAGGAATACTTGGATATGCAGATGACATTGATATCGTTGCACAAAATGAACTAGAGACTGTTAAAACACTGACTCTCTTAAAAGAATCAGCTCAGAAAATGGGACTAGTTATCAATCAAGGTAAGACAGAATACAGGATAATAACTAGACAGGGAAAGGATATAAACTCTGGCCACATACAAGTCAATAATATGAAAATCAAACGAACAAAAACATTTAAGTACTTGGGTGCAAACTTCAACTGCTCCAACATGCTGAGAGAAGAAATACAATCCAGAATACAATCTGGAAATAAAGTATATTATGCCCTTCAACATCTGCTAAAGTCAAAGAGTCTGTCTTGCAACATCAAGATCAAAATATATAAAACGTTGATAAGACCAACATTTTGTATGGCTCTGAAACTTGGAGCACAACCAAAAGAGATAAAGCCTTATTACAGGTTTTCAAAAACAGAGTCTTACGACGAATCTTTGGACAAAGAGGCAAACAGTGATGAATGGAGAGTGAGAAGCAACAACAAAATTCATAATCTGTTTAAATCACCACTGATAACTGGCATCATGAGAGCTAATGGACTGAAATGGTTGGGGCATATTGAAAGAATGTCAGATGACAGAGAAGTAAAAACTGTATACACGAGGGAGATGAATTGTCGTAGACAACGAGGGAGACCAAGAAGACGATAAAGAGATAATATCCAGACAGACCTGCAAACACTTGGTGTCACTAACTGGAAAGAGAAGGCCAACCAGAGAGATGAATGGAGGCAGGTGATATCTGCAGCAATGAACCTCAAGGTTTTAGAATGCTGAGGAAGAAGAAGAAGAAATTTCTTTTTCAAGAACCTTTTTTTTTTTCAAAATCAAAACTTTACATGGTTATTAATTTGTTGTGTGGTTTTTTTTTTTTTATGTTCTGTTGTGAGGACCAAGTCTGGCACTTGTTGCATAGGTTTGTGGCCGAGTGGCCGACCCACACTCGCTAAACAGCTGCATGCAGCTGGTGAGCCGCGATTCCCCAACCACTGCCCTAGGAGATAACCAGGAAAAAATAACTCAAGCTATAGAGCAAAAGTGCTAGAACCAGATACACTAACTGATGAAGTAGAAAGTGTCATTAGTCACCAAGAGTTGAAAGACTCCTAACAGAAATAATCCCAGCAGCGGGCGAAAGCAACATCAGATCGCTTCACAAAATATTTAATGCAGCATGGGTAAAAAACAAACTGCTTCCAATGACTGGTAACATACCATTGTGGAAGATGAAAATGAATAAGTAAGGTGATCGACTTGTGTACAGAGATGAGTACTGTAATCAACCCAGAAAAGGCAACCGTCCTGTAGTGTTCTTTGGACAACAGGATTGTTAGAGTGGATGTTCCCAAAATCAAAATAAATGGTAGGGACATCAAAAGAGACAACATAATTTCATGCTGTCAAAACAGCAGTAGAGAAACTGGTAAATATATGTCATATTTCACAACCCGTGGTATCTCTGACAGATGCAAGAGCAGTGTTTCAGGCACTCCAGTCTGGAAAACTACCTGGTATATGAACAGTACTCTCCAAACTAGACAGCCGATGTGAGGTAACTATGCAATGGATACCATCCCACTGTGTTCCTGGAAATGAAAGAGCTGATAAATTAGCTAAGGAAGGTGCAAATGAAGAACAACCTGATGTAACAGTCTCTTAACAAAAGAAGAAAATAATCAAATCAATCAGAAAGCCATCAAAACTGGCACAAGATGATTACCATTTTATGGACAGATCAGAGCAAGTTATTATTCTACGCCTTTGAACAGGACACAATCAACTTTGCAGCCACATGTACAAAAAATTTAAAATCAGTGAATCAGCCATGCGCACATGTAGACTGGCACCTGAGACAACAGATCATGTCCTCCAAGACTATCCTAAATACAACATATTAAGGAAAAACTTTTGGCGAAGAGAAACATCTGTGCAGGTCTAACTTTACAGGTCGCTGAGTGAATTACAAAAGACAGTGAAGTTCATACTAGACACAACATTGTAGATATAGACAATCTATTTCAAGCGAATAAAAGAAGAAGAAGAAGAAGAAGAAGAAGAAGAAGAAGAAGAAGAAGAAGAAGAAGAAGAAAAAAAAGAAGAAGAAGAAGAAGAAGAAGAAGTCTGTGGTACATGAGTATCACTTTTGACAGAAGTTTGTCTTTTAAGAATCACACAGAGGGGGTTGTGACAAAGGCTCAAAAAGGTCCTAACTCTTGAGTCCCAGCAAATGCATCACGCGCTAATTGGTTACTACCTAGCCGCCCAATCGACGCATAACAAGTGAAGGTTTTTAATTCACCACTTATCGATAATTACATGCAAACCGCTCAATTTAAATTTCCTTTCCAGTTCTCAAGTGTGTAGTGCATTCTTTTGGGTCTGGTGAGTTTTAAATGCTATAAATCTATATATGTGTGGTCTACTACGTTACCAAACAATTGTCTGAAAACAATATGTCCGATCAGTCATTGTCTTCATGCCCAGCAAAGCGATTTACTGCTTTAGAAGCACCACATTTAATAAAACAGTGGATAGATCAAAGTGATGTGGAGTTAGATAATAATAGTAGCGACGTGGAATTTCCCCAACCCGATGACGGGTCAAGTTCTGATGAGGAACGTGTGCATAATTTACCTCTTGCTAAGAGGACAACACTGACTAATTCTGCCATGGCAACACAAGAGAATAGTGGTGCTGAAGCACCCCGTAACGCGACACCAGCTAGTCCAAATATGTCAACGTTTGTAGTACTAGTATTACTAGTAGTACACGCCAGAATGATAGTCGTGGTCAGTGGAGAGGTATTACTGAGGGAAGAACACGATCAAGGTTTCAAGCCTCCAGTTTGTGCCACTAGAGAATATATGTTGTCGTGTTATGGTAGTATAATTAAAATTGCTATGGAAAAACAACTATTGCACATTTTGCTTTAATTTTGGCTGTGCCTACTTATAAGTGGTGTACCTTCCTTTGTGATGCATTTTGGATATTCCATATCAAGAATTTTGGGATCAGCTTTTGAGGAAGTGGAAAAACTTGTTCATAATTTACTAACCTCGTAAACTAAGTCACTGTTTTCTTTACTATAGTATGCTAATATTAATCCTTATCCATTTATGTTTATGTTCATATATGATATGTGTATGTTGCAATTCAGCTGCAGTTGAGTGATTTGTTTTAAAGTGCTGCACTTGTTAAAAGTCAAAATCATATACCCCCCCCCCCCCCCCCCCCCCCCCTTTTTGAGCCTCTGATGAAAAAAAACCTGGGACTCAAAGAGTTAATGCACTAAAGATTATGGCAGCAGTGGACATGGAGCAGAGAATGCTGTTCACACTTTACCAGCACTTAATCATCTCAGTGATTGATTATGGACAGGGTAACCCCAATCAATGTCTCAAAGAGTCAGACAGAGAAACTGGAGCGCATACAGAATGAAGCGATGTGGGTGATCCTGGGATGTACAAGAGACACCTCGATTGTGTGAATGCGTTCCATCCTTGCATTTCTGACTATTGCAGTTTGGCTAAAGGTGCTGCAGGCTAAGTCATACCTCAGAGTAGCTGCAGACAAAGGACATCCTCTGTATGAAGCTTTGGCTGTAGGTAAGGGTCAGAGGCTGAAAAGGGGAAATTCGTGGATGGCTCAAGCAGAAGACACAATAAGACAAGTATACATGCTGGAGAACATTGAGTGAGGAAATTGGGTCAGAGTATAAGAGGAAGTCTGACCTGTGTAGGGTTATGATCACATTGGCCCAGGAGTGCAGAGAGTGGCCAGCGGGTGCTATGGAGGTGAAAGCCCAACAGTTGATTCACGACTATTCATGCCCGGGTGATCTGATTATCTATACAGATGATTCAGTGGTGAAAGGAAAGAGAAGTGCCTGGGGGTTCGTAGCAAAAGCCAATGGAAAATCTTTAGTGCAAGACATCCTAGCATACGACATCTCAATATCCAGCATAAGAATGGAGGTGGAGGCGGTAAATGCAGCTCTCTGGTGGCTAGAGAACAAGATGCATACACATGTCATAATTGTAACAGACTCTGAAAGCATGCTGACAAAGGTGAAGACAGGAATGCAGAGTGCCAAGCTTTACTGGAAAGGTCACGGGTAGTGAGCATACTTTGGATCTTTTCTCAAGACGATGCCGGCATAGTAGGTAATGAACAGGCAGACAGATTGGCTGGATCTGCACTACTGAGTGGGGAATTTATACAAGACAAGGCAGATGTGGTCAAGCCCTTTTGGGAACAAGCAACGGAATTAGTAGATAACAAGATTATTATGGCCTGGAGAGAATGAGGCATCTAGGTGTAACTAGATGGTCTGGCTACACTCAGAGGAAAGGCAAGACAGACATATAACCAGATTGTGACCGGTACCATCAGTATTGAAACTCTGCGCTGACTGCTGAAAAAAGGACGAATCACGCATGAGAATGCCCCGTGTGCTGTGATGTCAATTCTTGACTCAACTCAGCTTAACTCATCGTGAAAGAACAAAGGATGCAAGTAAGAATGCAGTCATTACCGAGGCATCTCTCTTTTAAAGTCATGTTGGCAAAATGTATGCCAAGATAATAGAAACGAGGCTGAGACCAGTGATAATACCACAGCTAGCAGAGGAACAGATGGGATTTAGGGGATGCAAATCTTCACATTGAAACAATAAATAGAAAAGAACATTGACTATAAGAACTTATTTGAGGTGCTCATAGACCAGTAGAAAGCACTGAAGAGAGTTTATAGACAAGCATTTTGGAAAGTAATGGCTCGGCATGGAGTAAGAGAACACCTCCTCGGAATATGCAGAAAGTTTATATTAGGATTGCAGAAATGCAATTGGAAAAAACCAAGGAACATCTAAACCCTCCACAGTTACATCTAAAGACCACTGCTGTTTATCACCTACATTGACAGTATGTGCAAGGATGCCAAGCCCAGGATTGAAAATATTAGTAATATCAAAGAATTAGATGTTGTTGATGACCAGGCCTAAAGAGACGATACAGCTATGAAACTGCAACATCTCCAGTCTATAAATGGGAATGTAAAATAGTATGAGAATCAACACTGTAAAGTCTCAAGTCAGGAAGAATGAAAGCAGGAACTAAATATAGCACCAGTGTTTAAAGGCGTTAAACAGACATCTGAATTTAAATATCTGGGAATAACCGAAAATGGTAAATTGGAGGAAGAAATTTGCAACTGATACAGTAAAGCAAACCAAGTATTATACAAGACATACACTAAAAGATGTGAAGGACACAGAGTATGAAGTAAACCAAGAATAAGATAGAAAGATAATATCAAAGAAAAAACTGAATGATATGTCTAAGGTTGAGATGGCCAAAAGAGCGAGAAGCAGAACCTTAACAGAACCTCAGTCCAAAAGGGGTAACAGAGAAAATGAAGGAGAAGAAAATATCATTAACATATTCTGTAAATTTACCTGATATGATCAATAAATTTATTACTCTTATCACTAAAACGTATGGTGTCTGGGTCCCATTGAATTTCCAGTCGCTGTAGTCTTGGACAATGCTGTGCAAAAGCTTCCACAATTTGATCCACATGGATACGCGACTGCATTTTTAAAAACCATCCATTGGCTGTGCCTAGCACACAGATTCTGTGGGAAAATTTATCAGTAATAATATCAATTATCAACAGTTATCAATAATGATGTTTGTTTAACATAAGTCATATGTAAATATTTATAGGCATTGAAAGTGTCATATTTTTTATTGTAACGTTCTTTTCATTCAACGTGATTAACATTGTAAATAATCAACTGATTCTGCTCTTTAAATCAAATATAGCATGTTACTTACGAATATTATTGCAGTTTCTCTTGTTTTATCCTTCCATATTTCTTGGTGAACCTCTATATACCTATTCTCTATGTACTATGTATGTCTCCTCTTTTAGTATATGTCTGTATGTTACACTTCACAAGGCATGCTCCCTGAGCAAGCAAACCAATTTATTTAATGTTTATAAATGTACTAGATTTAATTGCTTGGCTATGCCCTAGATAGTAAAAGGAAGTTGTATTCTTAACTTGGTCTCCTCGGCTGCTATACACAGTGGAAACTCCACAGAGTAGCGAGCACAACATTAGCCTTCCATCTTTAGGTTCTCTTAGACGCCTTGGTTTCCTAAACCCGTCAGTGTCCCATTTCAGTTCATGTCTGGTGATTTTCTGTAGTCAATAATTTTTTGCATAGTGGAAGCTGGCCTCTGAGTCACTGCCCGAGGTGGAGTGGTAGGAGCATCCTAGACCAGTTCTTCCTACAGTTAGTGCTACCGCCACCTTAGCGCCCCTTTGGAGTGATGGAGCAGTGACTGGGAGCGCAACTCAGGGTTAGAACTTGACATGCTGGCAGTCCCCCAAATCTGATCAATAAAGCATCAACCTCCTCAAAAGCCCTTATCTTATTTACAGTCTAGGTTTCAAGGGGGATAACGATAAAATGTATTTTTTTTCTTTTTATCTTAATGTAGGGAGGGGGACAAATATTCAAAGGCATGTAACTCCAGTGAGAGTTTATTTGTACTGATTGTTGCAATAAAAAAAAAATGCATAATTACTTGGCTACCAGTGTGACTGTTAAATAAAACATTGTTGCCAAAATGGCAACTGAAAATTGTATTGATGTACTCGTCAGGGTTTGTGAGGAGTTAACAGTTCATTTATAATAAATACACAAAATACAGAAAGGGTTTGTGATTTATCGTATAGATTTTAGCATTGGTTCTGTGGCAATTGCTTACTCCCTGCAATATACATATATATCTATATATAAATATATATGTGAGTATAGCTTCAATCAAACTGGATCCTCATCAGAGCAACAGCAGATGTGCTACTGAGCTGAGATCTGATGCAGCTGAAAGGAGAAGGTAAATAATAAAAAAGAGGAGAAGAAAGAAAAACATGTCGATGTGAAAAGATAGTGATGGAAAAGCAAAAGACTCCAAAAAATACATATGAGCGATGGAGTGGAACTGTAGAATCTTTTACAAAAAAGGCCTGGTGAGACAAATTGATGTGTGGTGCTTACGTAGTGGCCCTACAAGAGAGTCAGTTAGGGGACACAGATCCTTGAGTTGAGTTGAGTCAAGAATTGACATCACAGCACTCAGGGCATTCACTTCCTTGCTATGTCCTCATCTTCAGCAGCCAGCGCAGAGTTCCAATACTGATGGTAGAGGTCACAATCTGGTTATATGTCTGTCTTGCCTTTCCTCTGAGTGTAGTGAGCAGGCCAGACCCTCTTGTTACACCCAGGTGCCTCATTCTCTCCAGGCCATAATAATCTTGTTTCTCTACTAATTCCATTGCTTGTTCTAAAAAGGGCCTTGAGCACATCTGCCGTGTATCAATTCACCACCAAGTGGTGCAGATCCAGCAAATCTGTCTGCCTGTTCATTGCCCACTACGCCGACATGGCCTGGAAAAAAGATCCAAAGTATGCTTACTACCCATGACCTTCCCAGTGAAGCTTGCCACTCTGCTCGAAGCATCCCCATCTTTCTCAGCATGCTTGACACCCATAGTTCGGTAGCTTCTAGAATAGAACACACTTAGGCTGAATAATTTTGGTCAGGAAGGACCTCAGCGCCATAGAAATTATGACAGTACATGGATGCATGCTGTGCACATCTAAGGCACCAGGCAGCTCACTGTTGTCAACATTTATGTTGTAGTGACAAGATTGATGCAGAAAAATAGGAGAGACTGAAGGCAATCCAGGAGCATTATATGTGAAATCCTACTGTGCAGTGACTTCAATGCTCAGGGGAGGTTTTGTGGTAACAAAAGGAGAAGAGCATCTTTAATAGACAATGTTCTTTTGGGTACAGACTTGTGCTGTAAGAAGGTGGCTAGCTGTTCCAATACTTGTCTGTTTAATGCCTTTGCACTCTACTGCTATATTTGGGTTCTGCTTCTTTCTTCCTACTGACATTACTTCTGTTTATTGCATTGCTGATTCTCATATTATTTGTTTTGCATTCTTCATTATAGATGTTGCAATTTCCCTGTTGAATCTGGTTTCAAGGACTGGTCAACAGCAAAAAATAATTCGTTATTTTCGTTCTTGGGCTTGGCATGCTTGCATATACTTTTAATGTACTCCATAAACAGCAGTGGTGATAAGACACATCCCAGCCCTTGAGGTTCATTGCCGCAGACATTATCCACCTTCATTCATCTCTCTGACTGGCTTCTCTTTCCAGTTGGTGACTCCAAGTGTTTCTAGGTCAATCTGAATATTATGTCACTACTATCTCTTCTTGGTCTGCCTTATGGTCGGCCTACTTTCAACCAACTTCAATGTGTGTGCAATTTTTGTCCCTCTGTCATCTGTCTAACATCTTTCTTCATATGCCCCAACCATTGTAGTCTAGAGGACATCCTTCTTCTCAAGCTTAGGGCCAATGCTCTTACATTTGTAAAATCTCAATTTATCATGAAACAGATATCTAAGACTCAAAATTGGATTGATCTAAGCAAACAACCTTGGAGCAAATAGAGACTTTCAAAATTTTGCAATTTTTCTATTAGCAATCTATTAGCTCCTTATGCTTTATATTTAAGTGACAGGTTAAAGGACTAACTGATGTATCTCTTGCACCAATCTGCTACTTCTAGCAGATATATTAGCAGTCTCCCTGTCTTTTAATTATTTCTGTGGAATATTAGCTTCATATCATTTTTTAGGGGGTAAAATTGTGACTACTTTGAAAGAGATTCTGCTGGCACTTACTTATTTTTATGGTAATAACTTTCTGAAACATTCCTAGGCTTCTTGTTTTGATTTCTTGATTCTTCAGACAGTTTCTCTTTGTTGCAGTCTATAGTTTAGTTAATCTTCTCTCTTCAATTGAATCTCAAATTAATGTAACTCTCTAATCTTCTTGACTGCTTCTTTTACTTCTTCACACCACCAAGGAAAGAATTTGTTACAATTGTGTCTATTTCAACTCTTCTGTTTCCCACATAATTCATCTGCAAAAAAAAACAGGGTGGTTTTATTCCCTTCATTCATCTTCAGCACTTTCAGCTACTGTTCCTGGCTGCATGTAAGCTGAGAAATTGTCCATAATTCTCTTCTATAATTACCTATCCTCCTGTTGATGTTTCCCACTACATGTGGTGCTTGATTGAGTGATTGATTGGCACCTTTCTGTCTTTCCAGACAACAGTGTTATATTGCAGCTGAGGAGGCATGGGACTCACAGCCCACAACGATGGCTGGCGAGTGTGACTAGCAAGACCTGCCCGCATCAAGAAAAGTCTTCCACGATGCTAGCATGGGATTTCAGGACCAGGGATTTCAGGACCATTGTTGTCAATATTTGTGTTTAACCCTACCAGACCGCTGGCGCGATTTTCTGGGAATTTCTTAACCTGACGCAATACCGCTGTTCCTAATTTTAGGCTATTTGCATAGTACGGGGAAAAAGAGGCGTCACAGACTAAAAATAACTAGCCAATCGTAATCAGATCTTGTGGATAGTCTTCCTAGATGTCCGCCCCCGTGTGTTTTGATAAATTTTTTTGTTTTATGTGAAAACTAATCCAGTCATCTCCTTGTGAGATGCAATTTTTGGTTCTTTGAAGTCCTACTCTGGCTCTTGCCAGTAGCCGCAATATAGCCCGACCATTAATATGATCTAATGGCTGAACGCGGTTTCTGGGACCTCTCCACGGTGATCCTCCTCCACATGGTGGCACTTTGTGTCATCCGGTGTTTATCGCTTGTGTGATGTCCTGGTGGGGTAGAAATCTACTTTATGTGAAAAAATTATGAAAATTCACAATAAAACAAGCGGCTGATGAATCAAGCACCTCGACAGGAAAGTCAAGTAAATCTAGGCTTTTTTACAGTCCAACAGGTGATCGATACTTTGGTTCATTCAGACTCTGTGGAGTCATTATTTCATGAAGAAAACATTCAAAGTTGAAGTGACACATTCAACTTGAATAATGAGGAGAATCTTGAAAATTATAAATGTAGAAATAGATTGGTGGTAAAGAAGGGGGCGTGTCCTTCAAACAGCAACATCTGATGCTCACTTTGTGAAACAATCCTGATTCTCCTGAGTGGATTGGCACACAAAGGTGGAATATTTGCGCTAGATAAAAGATAAGCTTATTTTCTCAAATGTCTCCAAGTTTCATCTTATTCTAGCCACTTGTTTGCATGTAACTAATATTTGTGTATATAATGTTGGTTTTTTCACGTTAATGCCCAGGAGCTCAGGTGTAGGGGACAGTTAGATTCAGGGCCTCAGGTCTGGTAGGGATGCTTAGCTCTCATCCTTTCTACATTCGTTTCTTCCTTCACTCCCATCGCCTTCCTGATATGCCCTCTCGACACAACACGGTCCATGGCATTTTGTTCACATGAGTCCACCTCAATACCTGTATAATTCAGTCCCGTTTGTACACATCTTTATACCGTAGTAGAGGTCAGCCTCAACATCTTCTACCCGTCTTTAATTCACCATAAAGGATGTCCTTAGGGACTCTGACATCCTCCATTCTCCAGCCACCTGAGCCTTCGTAGACTGAGCATTAAGACTAATGTGGTACCTGCTCTTTTCAGTACCTCTGTGTTTGTGATTTTGTCCTGCCACCTAATGCCAAGTATTCTTCTTAGGCGTTGCATGTGAAAGCTATTTAGCCCTCTCTCCTGGTGCGAATAAGTTGACCAGGTTTCACTGCCATAAAGCAGAGTGCTGAGAAAACAAGCCTGATAGACAAAAGAGTTTTTGTTTTAATTGTGAGCTTTCTTTTCTGCCAAACTCTTTTTGTCAATCTATTCATTGTTGTTGCTGCCTCACTTATCCTGATGTTGATTTCGTGGTCTAGCGATAGTTATTCACTGTGGAACCCAGATAGGTAAAATGGTGTACTGTCTCCAGCTCTTCACCGTCAATGTAGACAGTTGGTCTATCATTAAAACCTTGCACCATAATCTTTGTCTTCTTTTTGCTGACTGCTAGTCCAAAGGCAGATAGTAAACACTGCAGCTCCTCCTCTGAGTGGGTGGTATTGCAGCATCATCTGCAAACAGCAGCTCTCTGATAAGTACCTTTCTTATCCTGGTTTTGGCTTTCAGCCTGCGAGCATTGTAAAGGCCGCCATTAAATCAATAATGGATGAATATACCACCCTCCTGACCTCGAAAGGCATGTCCCAAAAGAAGTGAGAGGTATATTCCAATGAGGGTAGGAGCGAGTACACACCCCTGCTTCACTCCACTGTTGATAACAAACTCCTCTGATGTTACACACTCAATGTTGATTGTACCTTTCATACCTGTGTGGAACGACTCAGTAATGCTCAGTGTGTTGAACAGACTTTTTAGACAAACCAAATCAAATGCCTTGGTAAGATCAATGAAAGCAACATACAGTGGTTAATTTGTTTACAGCATTTATCCTGCAACTGTCGTAATAAAAATATCACATCAGTGGTAGACCACTTCCAACAAAAGCCAGACTGGGACTCTGGTTAACCCGGTCTCCCAGGATCTGGAGTCTTCGCAGAACAATTCTCGTAAGTACTTTTCCAACAGTATACACCAGTGATATTTCCCTGCAGTCACTCTGATCACCCTTGATCTTGCACACAGTTATGATGCTTGAGTCTTTAAAGTCTTGCGGAACCTGTCCCTCTTGCCAGTGTTAACAGCTGATGAATGTGTGGGGTTAGAATGTCTTTCCAACTCCTGATTATCTCAATAGGAATTCCATCTCTGCCTGGGGCTTTCCCCGAAGCCAATTCATCAATAGCATTCCTAACTTCTACAACTATTGGAAATGTGTCCAGATAGTCAAGAGTTGAAAGAGTCTTCATGGAATTAAGAGCACCAACTGTTAGTTTAGAATCAACTGAGTATAGCTCCAAATAATGTTCCATCCATCTAGATATCTAGATGCTTCTTCTTGTCGTTAATAATCTCCACTTTTAAACTCTTGAGTTAGCACTTTTTTTATAGTAGGACTGATGGCCTTCTTTATCCCCTCATATATACCTCTAACATTACCACTATTGCTGGCATTTTGAATGCTTTCCCATAACTGGACCTATTAGTCATTGACACACTCTCTAGCTACCTTTTGAAAATAATTTCTACCTGCTCTCAATTCACTGAGTGTATTCCTTGTTGTTCTTTCCTTGTTTCTGAGAGTATTAACTTTCTGCTGTCAATAAAGGTTGGAGTGTCTGCTATTTGCTTTCAAACCAGTCTTTCTGTGTTCTCTAATCCCATAGACTGATTCAGCTGTTTTGTAAAAAGTCTCCTTAATTGCATCCAATTTAAGGCTTGTTGTAGAGTTATCCTGAATATCAGTGAAAGTGTCTTCGAAATGTTGTTGAAACTCAAAACAATTTTCAGTCTTTAGTTTTGGAAATATTTAACCTAGGGATATTTTGGTTTTTTTAAGTTAAATTTCATTTTGGTTTCATCTGAACTTTTGTAGCAATTAAGGAATGGTCAGTACCACAGTCAGCACTCTGGTAGCTGTGAGTTAGTAATACACAGTTCAAGTCTTTTTATGAGGAAATGGATAATGCAGTGAAAGCAATTGCTAAATCTGACAGCTTCTATATACTTTGTAATTTTAATGCTCTTGTGGGGTCAGACTCAAACTCATGGCCAGTTTGTCTTGGAAAATATAATGTTGGCCATATGAATGAAAATGGGCAGAGACTACTGGAATTCTGTACTGGAAGTGACTTGTGCATCACGAACTCCTTTTTCAAAACTAAAGACCGCCATAAGGTGTCATGGAAACATTCAAGATCTGGCCACTGGCACCAGCTGGATCTTATTCTCACAAGGATTCAGCACTTGAACTATGTGATGCTTACCTCCACTTTATCTACCTCTTCAGATAGATTCATCAAAGAATTAATCTTTTAGTTCTTCTGCATAATTATTGTTGCATTTCACATATAACTGTATATATGCTTCTCAGTCCTCATCATTTAATTTTTATTGTTATTATTATGTGCAAGTGATAACTGGTATCTAATATGCAGTTAGCTATGTATGGATATTCAGGGAAGCCTACTCCCTTCTTTGATGTTCTCTGTCCTATACTTGTTAGTAAGTAATGGCTCTGCGTTCTTTCTTGATACCTACTTGTTAGTAAGTAATGGCTCTGCGTTCTTTCTTGATACCATTTCCTTTGTGTCTAATGTTAGCTAGCGCCTTTTTGATACAATTAAGTACACAGGTCATGAATTTAAAGGGCATGTATGCAAAACACAGGTAATACAAATAATTGTATGATATAACAATCTATACAAATTAAATAGGTAATTGAAATAATAACATTACTTTATATTTTTAAGATAAGGAATGGCATTCAACCAAAAATTCTCAGTCAGCTTTGGTTTCCCAGCTAACATTAGACCTCGTAGGTTCTGACCATGTTTCTGAATGAACTGATAAATGGCATTCTCACTGAGAGCATGAGTGTGGCTGATATCAAGAGCCTGAAGACGAGAGAATTTCCCTCTCTCCATTAATTTTTCAAGGATCTGTAGTAATAAAAAAAAAAAAAAAAAAACAATTAGTCAATAAACCCCAGGTTTAAAATTATAAAATAAGAATGTTTCAATGAAATATTTTGTCAGAGAACCCGACACAACTATCAACAAATTTCTTTTACGCTATGCTTCAAATTAATTATAAATGCACAGGTCTTTGCTGTTGTTAATTACAACAGACTTTGCTTTTAACTGTTATCATCATTTTCTATCTGCATGTTAGTTTACATTATTTTGTTCACCATTTTCTTACTCTCTTTAGCTAGCTGTTACTATGAAAACTGAATGGCACAGATAGAATTTGAGAATTAGATGTCTAGCTTAAAAAGCATTGGCATGTGATATACTTCCATATACTTGCCTTGTCATTCATTTTACATTTCAAAGATCCTCTTTCCAGAGAACTGGACATAGGGAAGAGGTTAACTGGGAAGACCACAAATGCAGTATAAGGATGTATGTAAACAGGACATGAAAACAGAAAGATAGGAGATATTTGAAGAAGACAGATATTACTGGAAAAGAGATTTTTTAAACTGACTGAAAATATGCAGTCTGATCCAAGAAAATGAGGACATGAGGCACATGTTAAAAAAAAAAAATTCAGTCACTTGCTGCGAGATCTGCCTCATCTTACAGGTACATAAATTGTGATACAGACTGCCACTCTCACATTAGATTATATAGTCACCAGCAGTGCTGTCAGGTGTCTGCCCAGCTGTACAACTGTATTGGCCAACAGAAATGAAAGAGGCCTGCTACTACATTCATTTATGGAAAGCACAGGGTGCTAGAGACAAAGATATACCATGCAGTTGCAGTGGATAATGAACATTCTTCTACTGAGGAGATTAGAAGACAAAATGACAAACTTTAAAAATAAAAATGGATGCATTTACCCTTGTTTTCTTTCCATTTCATTGATTTCAAAGGCATGAGTTTCAATTGCTTTTAACATGCTACCAGTAGTATTAAGTTTTCACCTAATTGTAGTAGTATATGCTGCTTGTTAAAGAGTATGATCATAAATTAATCTATAATTTTTTATATATCCTATATTTTATCATACACTGCTCGAGTTTTACCTCAGTGTTACTTATGAGTGTTACCTGTGAATATTGTTTGTTGTTGCATTGGTCTTAATGCAATTTATTTTTCTTTCTGCATTAAATAAACTCTCATTATGGCTTCCAAGAAAGTGAAAAGTGCTGGTGACAATGGTGTAAAGAAGCCTGAGCATATTACAACAGATACGAAGAAGCAAATAATAACTAAACATGAGAATGGTGTTCATGTTTCTTATCTCGCCAAGCCGTACAACATAGCTATATCTACAAATAGTACTATTTTAAAGAACAAAGATGCGCTAAAGATGGCTGACATAGCTAACGGAATGACTATGTTAACCAAGCAAAGGTCTTAAATGTTAGAAGAAATAGAAAAATTATTGCCAGTTTGGATGAATGACAAGTAGCTTGCTGGAGATCATGGTAGCAAGGCTCTTATATGCAAGAAGGTTTTATTTTTGCACTGTGATTTAGTGAAAAAAATGCCAAAGTGATGGTATGATGGACAAATTTAAATCAAATCAAAGCTGGTTTAAGAAATGTGGTAGAGGAACTGGAATTCTTAGTGTTGTTAGGCATCGAGAGGCAGCTAGTTCAGACAAAAAAGTAGTAGATGCTTATGTGGAGGAATATGTAAATTTTATCAACACTCAAGGTTATGTGCCGCATCAAGGTTTAGACTGTAATGAAATGACTTTCTGGGAGGGAAAATGTCAAAAAGGACCTAAGAGAAAAAGTCACTGCATGGCCACTAAACCAGAAAAGGACAGGCACAGACTTTATTGTGTTAATGCCAGTGGGGATTGAAAGAATTTTTTTTCTTTAGTAATACCTAAATTCATTAAAAAGTTTTTAGAAAATTATAATAATAAGGTTTCTGGCGTGGGTGAACAGATTACCTGGATTTTCATTAATTTCAATGGGAAGAATTGTTTCAACTCCTTATTATTTTGGTTCGCAAATGGAGTTAAAGGATGAATTAGGTTCTGACATGAGGTACCACTAAATGTGATAACATTTATTGTATAACTGGTCCCAACAAATATACATTTTTATTTACCTTATCATCAAAGAATTCACAGTAACCCAGAGCCAGATATGTGAATCCAGGCATGCGGAGAAGTATATTCTCCAAACATGAGGCAGAGAGTTCAGTAGATGTTAGATCTAATTCATGAATTGAAGATGTCTCCCAAGGTACACTATTCATGTGATCATCTTCAACACCTAGTAAGAAATAAACATAGGCATATATAAGTGCACATTATCATAAGAAATATAATAAAGTTGGTTAATCAAAGCTTTTTTCTGGAAACCAAAATTTGTCTTAAAAAAAAAAGAGAAAAAAGGTGCTGGTGCTGAGTGCCATTGCGCACCACAAAAAAGCCCTGTGTTTAATGCCATCCTGTATGACACATCTTTATCAAAAGCAAAAATATTAATATTGTTATAATAATGTTATATATCATTATAAAAAGATACATGGTGGATTGTTTCAATTTACTGTATCATGATTTTATTTAATTATAATTCTTCCCCATTTATCTCTCCCTCCTACACAAAATGAATGCTTCCCATCAGAATTTGTCTGTCTTCTTGCTACAAGATAATGAACTATCTTACTTGAGATTTTTGCTATGATCAAGCCACTAAAGATAGCTAGTTGAATCACACAGCAAGCACTTTGCTGTGGTTTCATTTATGCAAATTGAGATGTTCTGTAATTTTCAATTTTTATGTTATTTAAACATTAACATATGTCAAAGAAAGTAAGAGAACCACTAAAGACAGAGCAGAAGTTAAAAATAAAAAGTTAAATTAAAACCTTCTTCTTCTTCTTTTGTCAAAATCTGCTTGTGCTGCTAGGCGTCGCAGTCTGTCAGATGATCGGCAACCGAGCCAGGGCGCGCTCAGTCGCTTCATATGCCGTGATGTTATGAAGTCTTAAGTTGTACGTGACTCCTTTAATCCATCTTCTTCTTGGTCTTCCCCTGCCTCTTGGTGTTTCGATTTTCATGTTGTATGCTCTTGATGCTGGCATCGTTGGTTCCATTCTCATTAGGTGACCAAACCATTTCATTCTTTGCTTCTCAATAAATTTAACGATGGGTATGGTTCCAATAGTTCTTGTAATCACATCGTTTCTCACTCGATCTCTTCTGGTTTAATTCGCAGCCATTCTCAAACATCTCATTTCACAGGTGGTTAGTCTTTAACACGTGTTCTTTTGTTAATGTCCAAGTCTGACATTGATAACCTAATGTCGGTATAAAGATTGTATTTATAATTTGTCTTTTTATCTCAGCTGGGACAGCAGGGTGTTTTCAAATTGGGGCAAGCTGGTATGCGACATTGTTGGCTTGTTGGATTCTTGCTTCAATCTCTCTGTCTATTTTACCATTAAATGTAAAGATACTTCCCAAATATTTAAATTCTTGCACTTGTTTTAGGCTGTGATCTAGAATCTTTATGTCGATGGTCTGTTGCTCTCTACTTATGCTCATGACTTCTGTCTTTTCAGTATTGATCTTCATATGATGCTTGAGGCAACTGTCGTGTAGTAGGTTTATGTGGTCTTGCAGCTGTTTACTATCACTGTGAAATAGGCATTGATCGTCGGCAAAGAGCAGCTCATTGAAGTCCTCCTGTTTATCGACATCTGTTGGTGTTATTAAAACCAATTAAAACCGATGAGCATTAAATAGGAAGAATTCTAGAAAGGCAAAGACAAAAAAAATTTCTTAGCAACTACTGATACAATCCGGCATAATGCTGACCACATTATCCACCTAGTGCCGATTGTTCTGTAAAAATATGGGATGCTCTTCCCATATTCCTGATGTGCCTAAGGCGTGAAAAGGGATCTTTACTTTTCTTACTGGTACAAAAGTTATAAGACAAAGAAGATGGTGATAAAATTGACACACTCAGAGGAAAGGCAGACAGAGAATCACAAAACAGGCACTGCAATATGAAACATGTTAGATAAGGGAATGATCAGTACAGGTGAAACACTAATATTGATAAGTTAGGCCAAAGGTGCTGGAGTAGATTCGATTCGGGATACTGAAAATACTGCACATGCATAGGATAGTTCTATAGAGGAATGGACTGTGAGTCCTATGTGACATATAAATGACATAGCAGGATAATAAAGATTACAAGATATGATAAACAATTAAGGTGAGCTTCTATAATAATGTTGCTATTACATACAGAATAGTTGTTTGTGTAAATGGAAGTAGTATTAGAAGTAAATGACATAACTTACCAGCATGATGCAATAAAAGTGTCTTCAGTTTCTTGCAGCGCTGAACAAGATTTTTGAAAGAAGCACCCTTTACGCGCAGACAAAAATTCAAAGCAAGACATTCAATATGGATACAATTTGATGCTAACAGTTCAATATGGGAGTCATCCAGAAATGTAATCCCATACAGATTCACTACCTTGAGATTCGGAGTGTGAGCTTTAATTTTGCTAATGTTGATGACTTCATAAATGTCTTCTTCTGACTCTGAGGACAATTCAAATGTTCCTGAAATGAAATTAGAAAATAATCTTTGAAGAAACAAATAATGAAGGCAGAAAATTAATGAAGGTGAGAACACACTCAACAACCAAGCTATGAATTATGTTTAAAAAGGTGTTCAGTTTATGGCAGGGAAAATGAAAAAGATCTGAATGTCTAAAATTCTAATCTCCATCAAACTAGTCTACTTAGAACTACCTATGTTTTTACCTAGCAGTCCTGCCCCTGTTTAGGCATTTTCAAAAGGCGTCTTTGAGAAATGTATACCTCTTCTTCTTTTCTTCTACTACTTTGCAGTTGGTTTTGTATGCTCAGATCAGACCATCAGGTGGGTTGCCTATGTGAACTCATATATCAGCTGCAGGTCCTGCATGGTTCCCTATAGGTTGCTCTGCACACTTTGCTTTTGAGGCCAGGTTTCTCTTCGAAGCTGTAGGTAGAGTGGACAGGTCTGCAGAATGTGCTCAGGTGTTTGTGGTCCTGTCTGACAGGCACACTGTGGGGACTGTACAGTCTTTATTTTATGAATCTGATAGTTGAGCCTGCAGTGTCCTGTTCGTAGACAGAAAATTGTTGTATGTTGCTTTCTGTTGAGCCTGCTTAGGGGTCTTGTGGCTGTTTACTGTTGGTTTGTTCTCTTTAAAATGCCTAGTATTTTTCCTTGATAGTGTTTTGATTTCTGGTGTTAAACTCAGTTGTCATATTCCTAATAATGTAGTCTCATGGGTCAAGTCACTTTTAAAAGAATGTTTAATGTTGGGAGCAGTCAAACATTGCAAAGAGCCATACTGAAAAAGCATGGAGACTGACAAGATTTAAAAAATGCTCTGCTTGACAAAAGAAAATCTGAATCAGATGAAAAAAACAGACATGATGGCGTTGACAAGTTCCACAAGCTAGGTCAACAGATGACCTCTAGTAAGTCATCTTTGGTAATGTTTTGGTCTGGTTTATATTTATGTTGAACTACCCCAAAAGAGTTGGAGAAGATTACTGTCTCCACTTTGGCGATTGCACCTTGGTTACTGTGTCATGCTCAGTAACCCATGATTCCTCACCTGGTATCACAGTCTTCAGGAAGCTGGTGTTGCTGTGTGTACAGTCAAATATTCTTAGATTATCAAATGACACACACACATACACGGACACGCAGTGCGCGCATACACACTCATACACACACACACACACAAATACACAGAAAGGAAAAATACAGATATTCTAGAAGATTTGAACATTAAAATAAATTGGCTCATAAGTAGCATCATGTCTTAGAGACTGAAATAATTTCATCACAATAAACATCACAGGGGCCTGGAAAAGAAGAAAGAGAAACAGAACTGGAAATCATTGTTCCTGGAAGAAGAGGCTGAGGTTTACAAGCATGAAGGTGGACAAGAGCACTGAAGATAATGTGGACATGCAAATGTATGAAGCAGTGGAGCGTGTAATGACCTGATACATTAAGACATTATAAGGGCATTGTTCTGCACAATATTCTCCCAAGGACCAGCTACATGATGAGGATGATATTAATTTATTCTGAGTTCTCAGAAAAAAATTTATGCAGATTTGTTCGTTAAAATTCAACTGTAATAAAAATAGAAAATTCTCTATCAGAATATGTTGTACTGATCAGTGTATTATTATCTTAACATACAAAATATGATACAAGAATAAAAGTGTGTGGTAATTGTCTTCTTCTTCTTCTTCGCGTTCACCAGCTGTAAACTCTAGCGGAAGGTTCTGGTTGCTCGTCCACTACTGAACTGCAGTCCTGCTCCAGAACCTGAGTGTTGCGTGTGCATCAGTTTTATAGATCTCATTCTTTTGAATACAGACTGTTGGTTCCTTGCCTCTCTGGCAGATGCACTCCGACTTCAAAGGAAGCTCCCCAATTAGTCGACTCTTACGACATGCTTTTGGCGAGGCAGTGGGTCTATTCTTGTTTTCCCCACAATGGGGCCCCAGAACCCACACGGGGGTGTGGTAATTGTGTATCAAACTGTTATCATCTGGTATCTTACTAAATGACATGGATAATTATGCTCCTCTCACATTATCCACTCTTGCAGATTACACGAATTTATGTGCCGATTTCATAACATGTTCATAATGCAGGTTGTCTGTAACTTTCAAATGATCTTTCCTTCTATTTTCCCCATTATTCAAACTATTTTTACAATGTTCTAGTCTATCACTTTAAGATGTTAACTGCCTCTTTCAGGTATCCGTATAAGTATCTTTGTATCTTAGCCTCTGCCAAAACATGTTCATTACTCATTTCGCATTTGGTAGTTTCAACATTTTTCTGTGAAATCCATTTCTGCTTTGGCAGAAAACTGCTCAGTATTCATGACTTTAAGTTTTATTTGTCTTTATGCAATGTGCCTACATTGTTTTTTCTAACCTAACATCACTATATTATAATGTGTCCATTTTTATAAAATTCAAGTCATGCTTTTCCTATTCTGTCCTATATTTATGTGTTTCTTCCAATCCATTTTATCTGTAGAGGTAAATATCTGAATCTTTTAAAACTTCAAAAAAATACAGCAAACTCCTTAAAAACCAGCAATTAATTACCACTGAGGCAGCAATATTTATAAAGATACTATGATGTCATGTAGTTCATCTGTCCCATGATGCTGCCTCTAGTAACTTCAGTGCAGTTCTACACTTTCCAGTTGCAGTAATTTATTTCAAAAGCTAAATGTAATGAGCTTCGTCAACAAAACAATGTTTAACGACTATATGAAGAACATAAATTAAATTGTAATAAATTTACTATTTGTATTGAATTTTATTGTATACCATTTTAGGTTATCCATCCTAAACACAGAAAGTAGGAATAGGACAGTATTTCAAATGATACAAATTACTAGAACAGAGAGTTAGACCCATAACTGAACAACAGCTGAGTGCATCACAATTCGGTTTCAGAAAAGGCAGAGGATGCACAGATGCATTATTCACTCTGAGGCAAGTGTGTGAGAAAGCCATTGAGTATAATACCAAACAGAATATTATGTTTATAGATCAGGAAAAAGCTTTTGATAGACTGGACAGAAACAAACTGTGGTCTGTTCTTGAGAACTACGGGGTACAAGGACAGTTACTAGAGAACATCATAGCCATGTACCAAACAATCCAAAGGGCAGTAAAAACACAAGAAGGCATATCAGATATGTTCACAGTCAACACAGGTGTGAGACAAGGATGTGTGCTCTCCCCATTTTATTTAACATCTATATAGACAGAATATCTAAAGAAGCAAGTTATGACATAGACTTTTATAATGAGGAAGTACACACATCAGGAGAAGTAATCGATTCACCAACATTAAACGAACTACTATTTGCTGACGACCAGTGCTTGTTCTACCCTAAAGAACATAGACTGCAAGACCAAATTAACAGGTTAAACTCAGCATGCAGTAAATACTAGGGCTGTACCGAATAGTGTTTTTCACTATTTGGCTGAATATGAATAGCAGGACCAACTATTCGGCCGAATACGAATACAAATAGTGTATAGTCTATAAAATATATCTAAAAAAAAAAAATAATTCATAAAGTCAAATGTACGCTGAACTTTTACTTCACATAAAGTAGCACAAAATAGTCATCTTCTTCTTTAGCATTCTGAGCCCTTGAGGTTTACTGCTGCAGATATCACTCATTTCCATTAATCTCTCTGGCTGGCGTTCTCTTCACAATTTGTGACACCAGTTGTTTGCAGTATTTGGGAGCAATTTTTACATCCGACGGAAAACTGGACAGAGAAATTAGCTTCAGATGTGCCAAGTAATAAGGCCTCATCTCTTTTATTTCTGCTTCAAGTTTCAGAGCCACATAAAACAACTGGTCTTATCTTATGTTGGAGCAGATGAAGTTTGCACCCAAGTACTTATGTTTCCGCTCGTTTGATTTTCATATTATCGACTTGGATGTGGCCGGAGTTTATATTCTTTCCATGTCTAGTTAGTATTCGTACAGAATGGTAAACATTTAAAAACATTTAATGTTTACCATCCTTCAGTCAGTCTGTGGTAACTAATAACTATGAATGAAAGAATCCTAAGTATTATAACAAGTAACTAAACTTGGAAATTGTCACTGGCAGCTTAGTTAATGCAGGAAAGCTGCATTAGCTTTCAACAAACCCAATCATTCCATGTTGTCAGTATTAAGGCCGTGTATGCAGAAGCGGGTGTAAGGTTACTACTATTCGTATTCGGCCCGACCGCAACTATTCGGCCGAATACCGAATAGTCAATAGGTCCACTATTCGGCTCCGAAGTGAATATTTGGTACAGCCCTAGTAAAAACAACAGGAAGATCAATGTAAACAAAACCTAAACAATGCAAGTTAGTAGAACCCCTGCCCAACTACACATACAGCTGAATGGTTCTGTTGTTGTTTGTTTTAGTATCCAGAAGCCATGAGTTATTAACCCTTAGGCTCGGTATTATGGATATCGCAACCTTTGGGCCTTGATTCCATTGTAAATACCGTAAATCTGGGAGAAATGTGGCTTTTCTGCCTACCCCCGGGAGTGAACCCGGACCACAAGGAGTTCGTCACCCGGTCTCCGTGCAATCCGGTTTAGCCAACTACGCTAGAGAGCCAGGCCTGAATGGTTCTGCCCTAAATCAAGTTAGGGAGTTTAAATATCTAGGAAGTATGATCACAGAAGATGGTAGAATTGACAGAGAAATAGAAACCAGATGTCAGAAAGCAAGTGCACTTAAATACCAATTGTCACCATTATTAAGACATCCAAGCATAACTATGAGTGCAAAGAGACAGATTATTAATAGCATATTCATTCCAAAATTAAGCTACCAGTGCCAAACATGGACACTATCTAAAGTCCATATACGCAACATCACCACCTGCGAGATGAAGTGCCTGAGAAAAGCAGCCAACCTAACCATACAAGATCGAGTGAATAATGAAACTATCAGGCAAATTGTGGGAACGACACCTTGTACTAGATTCATTGA